GGGAGGGGGGGGGGGGGCAGGCAGGAAAGACATTAAGGGAAAACCAAAATGTTCTTGTTGGACCACAGATCAGGTTACATGTTGTCATATGAGGATATAATATTCAAAAATATTGACCCTGATTCAAGATGGGGTTAGGGGGCTAATGTATGGACAGCATAATTTTTGCTGAGTGAAAAAGTGTGATATCCCAAAATGCTGTTTGAAATATTATATAAAGATGATTAAAAACGGTTGTTACGTTAGTTTTGGTTTATGGTTTTATATCTGGTTCTAAAGCCCTGTGGTGCTGTCTCCCTGGATGTAAGGATACGTACACCATAACTGTGGCCAATTTGCATTTGATTTTCCCTTGAGAAGTTTTTCCAGTGTTCAGTATCTGGAAAATTAAACAAGTGATTTAGACAAAATATTCTTTTATTCCATAACTAGCTGTTACGAAAAGAAAATGCTTCTGCCACTAGGCAAGCCCATGGTGTGTGAAAATAATGATCAAATCTTAGACAAGAGCGTCATACGATGTTGTAATGAGTCGGATAGGTGCAATTTGCGAATGGCTCCAACGTTGCAACCCACTTCACCGATGCCAGGTATGATTTAAATTTTATAGAACATGTTAAAAACTATGATAAAGAACTGGCCTCATCCTTATACCAGGAGTGAAAACAAAGATATTAGCTCAAATTATCAGTCTTTAAACAAAACCGTTTTTGAAATACAGTAAGGCTGAACCTACCTCTTGACTACTCTGCAGTTGTGAACTCCATTTTAAAGTAATTTAAGCTGTGTTGGTTTAATGAAACAAGTATATTAATTATTAAACATGATTGAATCTCATATTCTCAGTATTTACTACTGCTGATAGAAACGGAGGTCATATTTGCCAGTTTTTGCCCCACGTGAATAGAGTGAGGCCAGTTTAAGGTTCCATATATCTTAAATGTTAGTTCAAGATTAAACCCCACCAGTGCCCAGGTAGAAAAGATGATAAGACTCCAGGTAGGTATGTAGTCATACAGCTGTGTTGTGTGTAATTCTGCCTGATAGGCAACATGGTGATATACATGTGTTGCAGGCGAGATTGAAATCCAAGCAGATTTGAAGACTATATAACTGAGATTGAAAATTGCAAACTCATCTAGGTGGGTTAAAAATCTGCCTAAGTCGGATTGGAATTTCATTTCTGCCTGTATTTCAATCTTGCTTGTAATATATACCCCTATTGCATCCATTATATCTCTCTGAACAGCTATAACAGGTATGAAAAAATAATGAAAGGACCAGTATAAGTTATGTTTTTAAAAAATTGCATCTTTGCTTCCAAGAAAGCGGGGGTGGGTGGTGGATGGGAGGCTTTAAATTATTTACAATTTCATTCTTTATAAGACCTTCATCTTCTTTTTTTTTTCATATATATCCCTTGTTGCTTAATCTAGGCAGTAGCTCAGTCTTGTAAAGATTCTGTGCCAAAATTAATTAAAATTTATGTGGCATTTGTAACAGCTGTTGTTCACTGTATGTCAAGTAAGAAAAAGGTGAGTTTGGACTAGACTTCATAAATTCAATGCTTTAACACTGTTCAAAACATTAAAAAACTATTAATTCATTGTCAGATGTGCTATTTTTGAAGTAGAAATCTGTATTATGAAGGATCTTCAATATTGGACCAAACATTTATTTCTATGCATATTTTTGTTTCCACTTGTTCATAATTTATTTTAATAAAATGAATATCTTGGAAGAATTTTGACAGAATTTCCATACATATGAAAATTTAGTTGAGAATTGTTGTGTAGGAACTGACTATACTGTTGCATTTAATTTATTTAATACAGACCAGTGCAAATAATTAATGTTTTGAAGTGCTTTAAATTTTAGCATATATATGGCTGTATATTTGTCATGTTTGCTGTCTAATTGTAGACGCTGGCAAAGATCCTGATAGCTTCAGCTCTGTGGAGTTGGTGGTGGTGATAGCAGGACCAGTATGCTTTGTCTGTGTGTGCCTTATGATCACACTGTTAATCTGCAACCGCCGCCACCCAAACTGTATGAGGTACCAGCAGCCAGAGCCCGAGATGGAAACAATGCTGCCCCCTGGTGACCAGTTGTCAATCAAAGAATTGCTGGATGACTGGACACACTCTGGGTCAGGATCAGGTAAGTTCACTAGATTTTTCAAAAATTAAAGTCAAACAGGTGGAGATCCAAAAGCTTATCCAGCATTTAAACTGCGGTAATGACTCAGTTTTTTCTTTGGAAATAATGAATTATCTACAAGTATATAATTTTGGAATTATTAAAACGGTATTTCTTTGTAGCATTTGTGGTGTTTTAGCTGTATAGAATACAACTATAAGGTAGCCTGCTTTCCTTTTGTTGCAAACAATAAGTATGAATTTTCTGAATTTAAGAATTTATGACTTTAAAAAATATTGTTTCTGAAAAATTTACAATTTTCTCCATTAAAAAAAATAGTCATTGCCATAAATCATTAAAAATTTTGTGTAAGGCCCTTTTCTCATCAAGCGGTAGTTTTAATAGCTAGGACTGGTCTGCTTTGAGAGATCCATACATTTAATGACACGACAAGCATTCTCCGCACGTTGGCTTTTTAGTCTAGTCAATTAATGGGCCATGCCGAGTGAGGCGCCTCTCTTACATAATAACCAGGTGATTGAGTTGTCTATCTTTCAAGGTGGTCTGGTCCATGTTAGTGTACAGCAACATAATGCAATCAAATTAGAATATGCTCAACATGTGGCTCAAGTATACTATCTCACATCTCACAATTTAGAGTGAGATATTGCTTCCACAGGAAATGCAATTCTGCGGTTTTCAGGAAAAAAATACAGCTCTGATAATTTAGGCATATTCCTGTTGGATCCTCTCTAAGACCTGGTTAAGTCCTGGGATTCCATACAGACACATTGATAGTTTAGCAGACACATGAATGAACTGTGCATTAGTCTGTCTAAGGGGTTAGATAAGTGCTCTCAGTGCAAAACTTTTGGTGGGTGAATAATAGAAATACCTTTAATTGTTTCATAATGGAATATCATTTTTACCATTCGCAATTGTTAGAAGGTAATTTGAGATGTAATGCAAAAGTTAATTACCTTATGCAGAATTTTGAAGCTTTGGTGTTGCTCTAAAGCCATTAATAGTGCTGAGGAAAGCTTTAGGGCAACATAGGTGGTTGAATGATGAAAAATTATATGTTGGTGTATGCACTGAGCAATGGATTTGTCCATAGCGTTGTCGTATTTTTGTTTTACTTCAAAATCACCGATTCATAATGGCTTCACTTTAAGAGTCATCATGTTTGCTTGATTTTCACGAAAGTTATTTGCACATTTCATTCTTTATCAGTCCTGTTGTCCAGTGTTTTCTTCAACCCAGTATTGTATTTTTGAATTAACTCTGACAAGCTTGACGTTAGTTTGTATGTCTGGTGACAGTATTATATAATATTATATAAAAAGTTCTTTCTTTCTTTCTTTATTTATTATTCATTGCCAGGTTTAATGCCAAGTTTACATTACACCTCAAATTACCTTTTTGACTATTCTGAATTTTCAAAAATGAAACTTCATTGTTAAATAAAACATGTTATTTACACATACAGGTGAAACCTTTTTGTGAATGTTTAAATATTATATACATGCTGCCCCTTTTCATGTTGGCAAATGTGTGAATGGGTTAAGCAGATGTGCTAATGTGCTAACAATATGAATCAAACAACCAACTTATGAAACACCTTGTAGCTTATGGGTAGATGATGGTTTGAAATGAATTGGGATATTATGAAGATCTCACTTTCATAATACATTCACTTCAGATGGACAGAATTTGAACCTCAAAGTTCATAGCATGACCACGGTTTCAAAATGTTGCTTTTTGGAGAATTCGCATTTTGTCTACTGTTTTTCACAACCTGCTGCCCAAGTTACGTAAATGCCTTTTTTATTTGAGGTCCCATTTTCTTGTTGGGCGATTTCCTGTTGTTCAGTACATGGTAAACAGTTGATAAACACAGTTTTATAACTATGGTATTAGCAACCTTGACCTTGGTATTTGGAAAAAATAACCAGCCAATAAAACATTCCCCTAAATAGCAACTAAACCACATGGCACAAAAGAATTGATCATAGTGCTCTTTATGACCTCAGAAGTATTAGATTACTCGCAATTTTGACTCTGCTCCTTCTTAGTGTATCAAGAGGAAATGAGGCACTTCAATGGAAGTCTCTGGTATGGCGAATACTTAAAAAAGCAAATCTAAAATATATCAGAAGAAGCAAATATTAATATTTCATAAAGATATTGCCATCTATTATGTACCAGTAGTGGTCCTTTAGACATATATAGACAGATGCAGGTACAGGTTAAAGAAAATTGAAATGAAAAAATACCTTTTGTATTCTTTAGAGATCAGATCATTTTCAGTGCACTTTTGAAAGTTTTTAATGGTCTGAAGTTTGAAGGTCAAAGTAGAACTCAAACAACAAGGTTGCTATTTGAACATAGTTTTAAGGCTTAGGTAGGACAATATGTACGCTTACTGGGGAAATAAAGTGAAAGAATAAACAAGAAAAGGTGTATCTGTAAATGTTCAAGTTGATACAGTTACTAAAATGACTAGCAAACAATACATAACAGATAATTAAACATTAAAACATCATTCATAGACCTTATTTCACCTAAATATTCCACATAGCATTTTTAGGAGTCATTTTTTTGTTTTGTTTTGTTTAGTTTTGAGGTTTTTCATGTTACCAGGACAACTGTCAGTACAATATTAAAGACATTGTGTAGTTACAAAAGAGCATTGCTACTGGTATCAAAAATATTTCCTGGAATACAATGTGTGGTAGACCTTCACATGGTGAAAATTATTTTTCTTGGAAATCCTACAATTCTTTTCTTAATAACCAATGTATATCCTGTCAAAAACTTGTAAAAAGCACTAAAGTGAAGTTTTTATGACTGAATATTACTTAAACATGCTTAAAAAATATGAGATACTGCAAACTTGAATTCCTTTTGGCTCAAGTTGGAAATAAGACTTTTGTTATGAAAATGGATTTTATTGTCACACATTGAAAGTAAAATATTTTGTGATTTTTGTTTCCAGGTTTACCTCTTCTAGTCCAAAGAACCATAGCACGACAAATCACCTTACAAGAGATTATTGGCAAAGGACGGTTTGGAGAGGTCTGGCGGGGTCGATGGGGAGGAGAAAATGTGGCAGTGAAGATATTTTCCTCAAGAGATGAACGCTCTTGGTTTAGAGAAGCAGAAATTTACCAGACAGTGATGTTGAGGCATGAAAACATTCTGGGTTTTATAGCAGCTGATAATAAAGGTATTGGAAACATTTGAACACGTCCTTCAAGTGTCATTTCGGAACTAATGAAGATGTACATCTTCAAATTGACACATTCTTAATTTATTTATTTTGTAATTATTTATAAATCAATTATTCTTAAAATTATCATTATAAACAATATTTTTTATCATTTCTCAGATAACGGCACGTGGACTCAGCTCTGGCTTGTGACAGACTACCATGAGAATGGTTCATTATTTGACTATCTAAACAGGACAGTAGTTGATTCCACAGGCATGATCAGATTGTCATCTTCTATTGCCAGTGGCCTCTCACATTTACACATGGAGATTGTGGGAACACAAGGTGAGAAGTCTATCATAATGAAAAATAGGGGAAGTTAGTTGGAACTATTTTATAGGTGATTATTATACTTGTAATTATGAAGGTAGTAAGTGAACAGATATTTTCTGTGATTGTTCCTTCATGTTTTCTCACCCAGAACTGGCTTTTAGAATAAATAACACACCTGATCATGAAGTAGTAATCAATGTTTGCAGGTGGTAATATATGTGTGGTGTACATAACTTGCAGTTGAATTAAGCCTAAAGCCAAGGTTATGAACCTCTTGTAGTGAGACATTAGTTTCAAAGTGCCATGATGTGTGGCGGATATAGACATTTTTTTTTTCTCTTGTAAAATTACATCCTCTTTTTTCCTTTACAGGGAAACCTGCCATTGCTCACAGAGATCTCAAAAGCAAAAATATTTTGGTGAAAAGAAATGCCACATGTTGTATAGCAGATTTAGGTAAACTATTTCACCGTTGTCTTGGTTATGTCTAAGACCCCATTCCCAGAGATTAGATCGATCTACTTTAGATCGACCTAACTCCCTGGGGGTTCACGCTAAATAGCTGTCAGCAGAGCAGACACGAAAGTTAATTACCCCCTTACAGCTTGTAGTAGGCGGGACAGACATTTATCTGACAGTAATCTAGTGAGACTCCCCGCGGGGATAGATCGATCTAAAAGCTCTGGGAATACAGCCTAATAAGTGGAATTATTTTGATCAAAGTTTATTGTAGTAAGCTATAAATTGCACTAGTGTCAGACATTTGAATGTGGATAACATATAACTGTTTCAACCCTGGCTGTAAATATTTTTTTTCCACTCAGCTGTGACATAAGAGCACATGGCATGCAACATGCAATAGCGTTGTTCTTGTCTGCCATCATTTCAGTGGAAGGTTGAAAGGAGGAAATATATGGCAGTGCAATAAATTAATGGGTGACTTAGTGGGGAAAAATACTTTTAAGATTTCAGCTGAAATAAGCTAATGTATTTGAACTGATTTTTGAGACAGATTTTGTTGGGCATGGGCATTGTTGTTAGCAATTCCATGCCTGACTTAATGAAGTGGGTTTGTGGAGGTTTGTGCAAAGATTGTCATATATATATATATATATATATATATATATAGAGAGAGAGAGAGAGAGAGAGAGAGAGAGAGAGAGAGGTGTTGACTTATATATACTCTAAGTTATCATTGTTTCCTTGTCAGAAGCTTTTTAACATTTTGAAAGAGGAATAAAAGAAAGTTTATATGACAAGGCCTACCTTTTTTCAAAAAATTATCTGATGGTTTTAAAATTTTTTCATATCACTTTACTTCATTTTACTTGGAGCACTTTATACATTAGAATAATAGAAACATAAGTGAAAGATTTTATATAAGTTTTTATATTAAAGGAGCTATTCTCTTTTATTTAAATGGTTAATTACTGCCATATGTAAACTAGATTGATGATAATTTAGACAAAAAAGAAGGACTTATTTAGATTTTTCCAAGCCAAATTAGCATATATTAAGATTTGGGTAAAAAACAAATTACTGTGCTGGAGTAAGCCCATAGGCAGGTTATACAGCACATGCACGCGTGCGCGCACGCACGCACACACACACACACACACACACACACATATGGATGAACCCTGAAATCGTGAAGAGGAGAGTGGAATGTGAGAAAAATATTCAAGATTCAGAATGTTATATTTAGATGTAGATTTATGAGACTGTTAACTTTCTAAGTTCTTCCATCAGTGTGAATTTAGTTATTTTTATCCAGTGCTTTTCAAGTTTGACCTTCACACTGTAAGCGATCATTGTCTGCTTCCAGGTCTTGCTGTGCGCCATGATTCTGCCACAGACACAGTGGATATAGCTCCCAACAATAGGGTGGGCACTAAGCGTTACATGGCACCAGAGGTACTGGATGAGACTCTCAACATGAATCACTTTGAATCATTCAAGCGAGCAGACGTCTACTCCCTTGGGTTGGTGCTGTGGGAAATAGCTAGGAGATGCTCTGTTGGAGGTAAAAGGTTTTGTTTGTTATTTGTTCTGGCATTGTTGAAGTATAGTTTTTATTGTTAAGGAGACTTTTGATTTATTATTATTATTTTGTAGTAATGGGAATCATCCAAGTTAGTTCTAGACTAAGTCTCTCAACGTAGTTTGAAATAAAGTGAGATTTTTGCAGGGTTTTTTAGGAGAGTGGGGCCAGAAATAATGGCAGACTAGTGAGTGCCAATAAATGCTGACAGAATTATACGCAGAATTATACTGGATGTTTTCTCTTCAGTTCTGTTGAATTGCAGCCTTTTCCACAACAGTATGGATTCATCATAATTCACATATTACTTTTATGTTGATATTCTTAGCCTTATTATGTGTCAGTCTTACAGGTAAAAAGATAGCTGATTGCATGTTTTCGAGTTTTGTATGATGTCAGGTAGTGTGGACAGCCTTATTTTAGGCTCAGATGATTTCTACAGCCATGAGTTCTTCGATGGCACTGAAATGCAATCCACTCATTAATTATGGAGAAAGAAATGACATGTGAAACTCTACAGAAGATAAACATGAAAGTTTTGCTTTTTTCAGACCCTTGCTTGTAGTAGTAGTAGTAGTATCTTGTTATACGATTGTACATGTGTTATTCTTCTTTGTCTTTCAGCTTTGTCCCTTCTTAACCTAGATGTGTTATTTCTCCTATTCATCAAGTATTTAGATGTTATATCAACTACAATGTTGTGACATTATCTTAAATTTCAGGTATATATGAAGAATATCAGCTGCCATATTATGACTTGGTGCCCTCTGATCCCACTTTGGATGAGATGAGGAAAGGCATTTGTGAGAACAGGAACAGACCAGGCATACCCAACAGGTGGCATGGGAATGAGGTCAGTGAATCATATGTGCTGAAGAAAATTGAACCACCTCTGCTGAATATTGAACAACCTGTTTGGTGTTTGTTGAATTAGATTTTTTCTATGAATGTGCTGTATAATTCTATTATATTTCTAGTCAGGGGATGAAAGTTTTCGGTGTTTTCACTTAAAAAGAGAATGGTTGTTGCTGGGGGGAGGGGGGGGTGCACAAGGTTATTGAAAATTAACTCACACCTGATTTTTTATGTACTGAAAAGAATTTTTCATTAATTTATTTAACTTTGAGAGTAAGTAATGATACAAATTTATACAATTTCTAGGCTCTGCGTGTAATTTCAAAAGTTATGAAGGAATGTTGGTATCACAATCCTGCAGCCAGATTGACAGCACTGCGTATTAAGAAAACTTTGGCTAGTCTAGCAGGACAAGAGGACTTGAAACTGAGGTGTACATACTAAGTGTAGATACAAACAGGAATTATACTAATATGCCACCAGTTGGCAGTTGGGATTTACTCCCATGCCACCAGGTGGCAGTAGGAAGTGCAATGGCAAGATAAGATGTGATCCTCCTTGGGCTTACTACTATGTAACTTAGTAACAGCCACATATTTTTAAAAATTGAAAAAAAAATGTTGAGAATAATATATGTGCTGGTGTTAACCTAGCCTTGCATTTACTGCATTGACCATGGAAACCAATACTGTTAACACAGTGGAGTTTGTATTTGGACTTCCTTGGGGCATTAAAAAGAAGACGACAACAGTCGACAAAGATGCTGTACATAAAGAAAATCAGTGTTCAAAAGCTGTTGAAACTGACAAAATGATGATATATGTTCAAACAGTGATAATATGTAAGAGCATGGATGTATGTGTGATCTCTGTGCAAGAAGGGTGGAGTGGAGGCCATTCACATTTGTAGTGATTCAGAAGAAAACTCGCAGTAATCAAAACAATGTTGTCAAATGATATCCATTCATCTTAAAATGCAGGCCTTAGTATCCATAGTTTGTAGACAATTATCCAGTCTAATGGTAAAAATGGTGTGGAGCATAATGGATTTGCTGTGAAGAAAAAACCAGATGAATGTCCACACCATATTTGTAATAATGCTGTATGAAAATGACTAATAATGCTTGTTGTCATTATTAATATTATGAAGCATTTTAGTACTTGTAATTATCTGTTGGACTTAGATGATTTACTATCATGGTACTGTTAAAGAATTTGCCTTATCCAGTGTATGGAAAGGATAAGATGTTTAAGCTGTTTTAAATCAAGTATAACAATCCCGGTGTATTTGCATTGAATTAGAATTTGATGTTTTATATGGAATCGTAATGGCTGTTCTTATACAGTCAGAATTGGCTGTTGTTAGATTGGTAGATACCTGTGTAAAGCCAGTGTACCTAATACTGCCCAAAAAGGGGACTTGCTGAAGACATGTACTCTTTTTTAATTTAATTTATTTATTTAATTTATTTACTTATTTATTTTTTGGAAAGCATTATGTTGATGGAATTATTTTTTTATCTTCTTGACTGTTAGCAAAGTATGTAAGTTTCCCATGTGGAATAACCTATTTTAAGTGTAGCTTGTCAGTATAATGAAATAATAATGAAAAAATAATTTTAGCTCTAAGCATGAATGTATGTTTGTGTAATTTGTACTGATTATGAGTCGGACCAGATGAGAAGTAGTTTCTTAACTTTGCCTTGCTGAGTTGCTTGCTGCAATTTTTGTCACTACATTTGAAAGCTTGGGCAAGATAGTATTTGTATTTATTATTCAGGCTTGTACGTAATGGTGGAAAAAAGTTAATTGAATTAAGATGACAGTTTGTTAAGTTTATACAGGCAGTTCATGATAATGATAGGAAACCACTAAAACATAAGCAGTGATATGTTGCTCAACTTCATATAGAATTAAACCTTTTGGCTTCAAAATTCATCAGTTTGCTGTTTAGTAAAAAAGGCATGTGATATTTAGATGTTTGCTTCTGATTGTATAGTTAAACCACGTTTGCAGAGAATGTGATATCACTTACAGAAGTATAACCCTGGGGTAGCGTTAACACTCGCCAATTTAGCCAAATGCTAAAACTTTGAAATTGGCTAAACAAAAAGGGCTTGATTTGACTTGTTTTCGTCATATTATTAACATTTGGATAACAAATGACAAAAAAGTGGTGATTTGGCTAAGCAAAAATAATTACTAGTGCTATCCCAGTAACCCCTTCAGTCTCTGCAGCACTGGGGAATGTTTGGTCTTGCGAAATCTATCATCCCCACAAGTCGGCAAAAATTGGCTAAAAAGAATACCGTACCTCACAGTATGTCTAGCCAGTTTCAAATAGGTGACATTTTGTAAAAAATCTGTGCCACTATGAGCTTGGCCTTCAGCCGCACTTGTTGACAAACGAATCCATTAGTTGCTACTTTCCTAACATGTCTCTCCATAAATAAACCTGTAACTTGTTCATAACTGTAGTGGGGATGCTGGAACTGTGATAGAACCTTTGTACTTTTCCCCCAGGCTTCTAGTTGTTACCAGGTGAAGTATTAATATAGATACATATAGTATATGTCTAATTACAGTGGTAGTATATAGGTGAACGTCCTTTTAAGACAAACGAAAGAAGGCTGCCACCTCCTTGGGTGAGACCCCCAACCAATGCATTTATGTAATTATATATATTTACAGAGGCATATGGTGCTATATTATGCATTGTTGTATAATTTTTCATAGTAGCATATTTATAGTAAAATGCTAGACTAGCATTCGTGTTTACCGAATTCATTAAAATGATTTTTGTACAAAAATGCGTACTGAATTTTTAACCTTAAGGTTTTTTCTTTTTCAGTTTTGTTCAATGTGTGTATCGTATTGTAGTCATATTAAAATTGAATGATGAAAAATGTCATATTTCACCTTCAAAGCCATGTGTCATTGAAAATTTTTGTCATACATCAGCTGATTTATGTGACAACATGGTGTTACTGCACGTGCAACTTGCTTCATATCATGTACAGCATATTGATACAAGATGGATTAAGTCGCAAAATGTCCATGGCCTTTTCTTTGTGCTGGATCGCCCAGACGACATTTCATTGTACAATAAACATTGTTCATTATATCATTAAGCTATCAAGAATACTGTTGCTAAGTAGCAAATGATTAAAATGTTAACGAGGGGTTAGGTAATCGGTTACCATGACAGATTATTGTGTATAGATGCGCGGTGATGGAAAGTAATGCTAGGTTTACTCCCGACAAAAAAAATTCAAGAAAAATGGAAACTGAATTAGGTCATGGTTATGTAAGTACGTTTCTATTTATAGAGATACAGCTTCCACATAATTTAAACAAAATCCTCAAGATTACCTCATACATAAGGGTGTAACCTCCAACATACTCAATAAATATCTGGATTTATAAAAAAAGGACAGAAGACCACGAAGGATGTCGATATTGCATGCCAGGTATACTGAAATGATAGGAATTCTTGCCTAGACTTCGGAACCGTAGCGACCTCTGTGCATACCACTTTCCTCGTTAAGAACTCAAGGGACGTACAATATGTTATTTTTATACTATTTACGAATTTTCCTTTCACTTTCGAAATATTACTTTGATCAATTTTTACTTCAGGAAGTGAAGGTTTAGCAAAGGAGGCATGGACTCGTTCACAACAAAGTGCTTATTAGATTGGATTTTGAGATATAAGAATAGGCACCAAGATTATTATTTTTATTTCTATTTGTCTTATGTGGTTTTGTGTTATATGCGTTTTGCTCTAATGAAATTGGGTTTCGGGACTTAACGTAAAAATGTTACTTCTGGAAGGTGTAAATGAATTTGATAGTAAAACCCTCACTGACGAAGTCTGTGTGGCGTATAATAAACTAGCGTTATGGGTTTCACGTTACCAATGAAATGAAAAATCTTTTTAGTAATAAGCAATGGCCGAGGATTTGTAAGCATACTGCCTTGACAGCGTTGTGAAGATCTGTATGTATGTATTGTATATAAAACATCGTGTAATGTTTATGCAATAAAATCCTTGTACATGTGAGGTGTCTTCAGTCTTTAAACACCTGATATGCCTAGAAAATAAGAACGACCAAGTTATTCACACACTTATATGGAGAGAAGGTACTTCTGTTTGGAATAAACACCGTATGTCTTTTGCGTGGTGTAAAACTGGCGGGACAATTATTGATGACGTCCGTTACGACTAATTTGGTCCTCTGCTCACATAGGGTCCCCAGGCTCTTATTTCGGTCCAAGGAGGCTATGGTCTTACACCTGTGAATGTCCATCATGGGGGCGATCAAGCGTGGCCCCGGAAAGCAATGGCGGTACTTGCTTGGTTGGTCTCATAAAAAAACGTGTTACGGAAAATTTTCTTATTCGTAACGTGAAGGAATATTAAATCTACTTCAGTGCAAAAATGTTGATTGGCATGTAGTCCCCTGCTGGTAGTACATGCACGTGTGAGGAAGGCTTGGGTGGCGGCACAATATGAACATGGGTGTAGCTCTGCTAATTTTGGAGTATATTCACATTTAATGTTGAAACTTTTTCACCCTGCAGCATTGAGATGCTGCACTTTTTGAAATAGCGCAACTCCGGCCCGTATGAACAAAAAAAAAAAAAAAAGTTTCGACATCTAATTTCTGCTTATTCCGTAAAAATGGACCGGTTGACCCCAAACTAACAGAGATGAAAGAAGCCCCAAGTGTAACTTCTTACCTATATCATTATTTAAATGCATAGGTCTATGCAGATTCTGAAAATCGGCACAAACAAATATTTTCACAGAAAATTAAACATTTCACAAATTTATAAATGAATAAAGGTCAATGGTCAAATCAAAGGTCATATTTGAAATCGCCACATATGACCTTCTGTCAGACTGCTATAGTAACTTTTGCATATATATTTAACAATATATTTAACAATATATTTAAATACATTTAACTTTCAAAAATTTTGACAAGGGCGACGGGCGTCACACCTGTGCAAATGCACCGACAGAACCCAAAATTTAGGAGGCTCAAGTTGAGATTATACTGAGTATAATTTCATATCAAGCGAGGAAGACACTGGTCCTTGAATTCTGTGAGGAGAACGGTGACAGTGACTTGCATCCGCCGACATGACGCGCAGGTGGCGGAGACAGCGGCGGTGCTAATAGACAGACTTAGCAGAATTGCATGCGTTGGTTGATAACGTCACGACAGACTTATCTAACGCAATGGAAATATGAATGGTTATTCAAGGACTTCCAGTAATTTGCAGTTCTTTTCCAGAAATACTTATAATTTACAAATAACACGTTGATGGAGGTAATGAATAATAATAATAATAATAATAATAATAATAATAATAATAATAATAATCTCTTTTTAGCGTAAAAATCCCCCATTAAAAATTCAGTAGAGTTGAAAAATAAAAAAGATTTTTCAAGACAAATGATAGAAAGTGCATATGAGTAAGAATGACAAGATTAAGAGATATATTTATATTAACATTGTCATTTGTCCTTTATTATAAGAAATTGTTTTAAAAGGTTAAAAGTGATATCGCTGGAAAAGATATGTTTTTAGTCTCTAGACACTCAGTTGAGATGACACCGAATGGTTTGAATTTATTGACAGACATTGTAATTACTGAAATAAATAAAAAGTAAATTTTCGTTTAACCTTAAAATAAATATATATTTTTCACTTTTATCGAGCTGTAACTTGTCACTTTAAGGTTTCTGTAGTTTGATTGTTATTTGAAAAAGATTATGTAAATATAGAACCCCAGTAAATTTGTATCTGATAAAAAAAAATCTGTATATTTTGGTTGGTAGACTGTATCTGAATATCGATCAAAAGCATTAATTGTCACTCCCAGCATCAAACTCAAAAAGTAAAAAATAAATGAAAATTACAGTATTGAAAACTGAATGGATTTTGTTTCGAATAACAATTTAAAATAGCATTGAATTGGTTGTTTATCATGTAACGCAGGCTCTCAAATAAATGATTTCACGAGTGTATTTGCCCTTTTTCTTGGAGGGGGGGGGGTTGAAAAATTGATCATGCATACTGTCACCATACAGCTCCGTGATCTAATTCCCCTAAAGAACTAATATTGATCCCAACCGAGAAAATGATGAGGTAATTTCATGTTCACTTTGACCTCAACAAGTCTCAGAAATCAATTCTATCCGCGCGCTTTAAATTTACCGAACGCTTTCAGAGCCAATCGATCCATTTTCAACGCACTTAAAATGAATACAGTGTGTGTGGTGCGTATTATATTCTAACATAGCTGTGACACAGAAATAGAGACATTTCTCCCAGAGGAATAAATTATTTTTCCGACAGGTATAATAATCAAACAATACAGGTACACAAAGAGCACGGTTTGCTTTTCCACCGTTTATCACGCAATGGGAATAAATATAAACCACTCATTCAATAACGAAGCACAGAGTTCACGAAACAAGACACCCAGTTTACACGTTCAAAACGTTCACGTCTAAATTGACTTAAATAAGGGAAAACATATCTATTTATGGACACCGGGGACCTTTAACACCAATTTGTTCAGCGTCCCAATGAAGTCTGGTATGACACATTCAAAGCCCTCTTGAAAACACACATTCACGCTTCACCTAGTGAATCAGAGTTTACTTTTGACCGACTAGCGCTATTCAGTCAATACAACGGTATTGTTGAGGGAGCCGATAGCTCCGTGTGCCAGTAAGACGGCTAGGCACGGGTCCCAGGTTGGCCCCAGCAACGCAAACACTGCTCTACAGCACCATGGCTGTTACACAGGTAAGATATCTGTGTTTTTTACTAATTTTTCAGATGTCAGGTAGCAATGTTTAGTACTTGTAGATGTTAAATAAGGTGTCGTTGTTACGCGAGATAGATGTTAACTGATATAATCAGCTTAGTACTCGTTTCGTTTGGATTTAGATAAATGTAAACAATCGACTCGTCTAATACCACTGCGATTGGCACGCATTGGGTTGCATTGATTAGAAGGATGTCAGGGATGTATGAGAGAAAATCTGGCATTCTCAATATAAGAATATGAAGATAATTCCCAGTTCTTGAGTTTGAATTTATGCCTCCTAGATTTTGTAATACTAAAATTACAGGGTTGAGATTTATCCATGTTCACACTGATAGACATGACACGGCCTCAAATGATCAATATAGCTTAAGATTTTAGTAATCTTATCGCCGTTGTAATAAGTCATGACAAGTTTACTTAAACCTCTGACTGAGCAGATTTAAAACTGAATCAATTATTAACAGTGGCTTCTCACCACATATAATTCAGGCAACACAGAATATAATAATGGTTTAATATTTCAAAATTCTCATTACTTAAAAAAATGAAATATAAAAAAGAAAGGCGTACACAACCATTAATAATATTGTCCCGCTTTAATGTTTGACCGCGTATACATGTGCTGCAGTTGCCATGAAAACGTCGGCACAAACTGTGGCGGCCTCCTGCAGTATTCCGTGAGAGAACACTTTTAAGTAGCAAAATAAATTGCTGCGGCGTGTATTGTGTTCCTTAGTCACTGCTAAGAGAGGCGTGATAGGGTGACAACACAGAACACACTGGATACAGGCTCTAATATCGTAAGTTAAAGTCATAATATTTTCTTGTTCGAAGCACTTAACGATACATCTTGTGTTGTCTGTTTGACTGACAACCTGTCAATAATTCTGCGGGACAAAACGTGAGGGTAGGTTTAGGTAACACTCTTGCAGCTACTCAGGTTTAGTCCATCTACATCAAGTTAGTCACAACTACACAAATAATTGTGCCCAGACTTTCTTGACGAATTCTTGGGAGGTCCAAACTATTAAAGCAAGGTCCCCATACCCAAAGAGGACCCTACCGACCCTTGGAGGGCTCTGTTGTCCATGGAGGATCTACTGCTCTGGGGAGAACTCTGCTGTCCCTAGGAAGTCCCTACTGTTCATGGGAGGGCCCTATTTCCATTTGAAGGGCACTACTTCCCCGGGGTGACTTTCATTTTCCCCTTGGAGGATGTGTTTCTTTTTGTGTGTGTGAGTGGTGGTGGGGGGGGGGGGGGGGGGAGAGAGGCTTAGAGCCCCTGAGAGGACCAAGCTGCCATCGACAGGAGAGTTGAATAACAGAAGTACGTACTACTGTAATTAGGAATTAGGTGTATATCAATTTTTCATTCTAGCCACGCTTCACCCCGGCCACACCATGGCGGACGGTGAAAGACCCGGTCATGGAGGAGACCGACCTGCACCGTGCCATCACCGACGGCTCTGGGAAATCCTTGTCGCAGGCCCTGAGGATTATCGAGCGCATGACTAAAGAGGAACTACTTCTCAAAAGTCAGGAAGACACTGGGACGTTCCTCCACCTCCTGGTGTCCAATAGCGAGTTGTTCTGGTCTAAGAACGCCAGCGTTATGCCCGCCGTCCCCATTATCTATAAGTTGGCGCTGTCTGGACTGGACGTGAACGCCCGGAATATCCATGGGAATACAGCCCTCCATATAGCCTGCTTCAAACCACATGCTGAGGCGTTTATTGAACACCTGATACGAATAGGTAAACATCTAGCTCCCCCCTCTCCCTCTCCCTCCCCCTCTCTCTCTCTCTGCCACGTGCATTAAAATTTTTTTATAATGTTTCTAATCAATTGAAAAATAAAATTCTCATCAGTTGAAGTAATCACGCATGTTTTGAAAAAATTGCATGGTCCCGTTTTTTTATCGTCTCAGGTTTAGATCCTTGCCTCAGCAACAGGAAAGGCTGCAAAGTCATTCACTCTTACAGTCATCGTTTATGCCAGATCATTAAGGGACAGCCGGCAGCCAAGTCTGGGTTCTGGAGTGCAGGTAGGAATACAAAGTTCATAAATGATTTAATACCCGTTCCAGGCGCTCCAGAACCGTTCGAAACTTACATTGTAGGTTCAAATGCCAAAGGAATCATGTATTGTATTACCTTATGCCTTAATGGTTCATCAAGCACAACTGAGAGATAATAAAGTCAATTAGTTTCAAAATCACGCACGCAAGGAACAATAAAAAAGGCTATCGGGTTCAACCTAAATGTAAATGTGGTTTGTAGCTCGAGCAATTATTCCAGCAGCTTGACGTATGAATGAGATGCTAAAAGCGCAAACGCACAATATCGTTTACTGAAAAATCAATTAACACCACATAAAAAACCATGGAAACCATGGTAAAGTGTGTATGGCAACAAAAGTTGGCGATAACACTCATGTTTCACCAACAGCCGTATTCCGTATAAGCTTTGAAAATACACTCTTTGAGCAAAATTAAGCTTATTCCAATTATTTTGTTATCAAAATTCCAATTGCAATTCCAATCGTTGACTCTTAATTGTCAGTGACTCCTCTTGAATTTCTTGCGCTAAAAATAATTGTTATTTTATTTGAAACCTTTCCGTTTTCTGTCCATTTCATCTAGTTGACTGTGAAGATCTGGTCCTGGCTGAGAAATACCTCAAAATGTGGTGTCGGGTGAAGGTGAAGCGGGCCACGAAGACGCTGAAAGACGTGTGCGAGGACACAGGTAGCACGGAAATGATGAATCTCCTGAACAAATACGAGCTGATGAATGAGATGGTCTGTGCAGCAATGGCAGGAGACACCAATAAAGTCAGCGCCATGCTACAAGATGCAGGTAGGTAAAACTGCCACTGTAAACTACCTGCATGTTATCACATCGTGATGAAACAGAAGAGATTTAATTTCAGAATTTGTTCGAAAAAGATTTTCGTTATTGAAGATTTAATGCTGGATACGATAAAATTATGTACATAACGGAATCTGAGACTTCGTACTAACATACGCTCTCTTTTGAATTTTTTCAAACTTAAATTAAAAATATGAATTAAAGTGTGTCCGTAAGTGAGTGTGTGTGCGCGCGTGCGCACACACACACACATATTAATGTGTGTGTTTATATACTCCAGGCAGAGCCATTGACCTTAACACCAAAGACCACTCCTTCGAAGTCCCCAAGCCTCTGGTCATCTCACTGCAAGAAATCGGTCAAATGATAGAACCAGTGATTACAATACTGCTGAACAATGGCTTTAACAATGGCAGTGATTATGCAGGTAACAAAATTTCATTTTAAAGAAAATAGATGGGGTATGCAGATTCATAAGACTGGGATATACAGAATCTTTGATATCATTTAAGTTAAAAAAACCAAAGGGTTTAATCGGAAGTAAACATAAAATATACAATTTGAGAACAAAACAGTTAAGATTCATAGGGCGTGGCGTCCAAATTCAGCATATTAGTGGAACCAAATTATTGCTTTCTAGTCGCACTCTGATCTACATAACTTAATAATCACTATTTTATTGCTATATTTGATTTGTTTGCTTCAAATTGTGACGTATATTCCATCACTGTATTGTGCTTTTGTTGCATTTGTCTAACCATTTTTTTCTTTTTGTCTCAGATCAACTGGAGCGGTATAAAACTTCGTTCGAAGAATCTCAACTTTTCGCAAAACTGGAGGAGAGCACAGTTGACTCCTATCTGGAAGCAATCCAGCTTCTCCAGTCGGATACCAGCTCTCTGGACCTGAAGCTGAGAAGTCACAAGGAGAACACCAAGGGGTGGACCTATCTTCACTACGTGTGCCATCTGTACAAAAACGCCACCAATATCATTCTGAAAAGACTTTTGATCAGAATTATATACAATCTCGCACTGGCTGGTATTGACGTGAACATACGAGATTCCTCTGGGGAGTCTGCGCTGATTAAGGCGTTTGAAGAGGAGGACCAAACCCTATTGTTTCATATATTAAGAATAGGTAATTACAAACATGATCATTGTGTGTTTTATTTCTAATATTTTACCTATTCTGACGTTTTGGGTAATTAACTAAGTTCAAAAACTGACCTACCATATCGCATTGCAATACAAATATACCTAAATATTTAAACGCAAAACCCCCATATCTATAGAGTTAATTATCTTTTTTAACTTATAAGTTTTGGCAGTTTTAAAATAAGCATATACGTTTCCAGCATCTGAATACACAGCGCATAAATGTATTTCAGATATTTATAACACTTTAATCGAAAAGCTAATTGTAACTCAGCAATGGGATTTCAGGAGTTGATGGTGTAAGTTATTCCAAAAGCGAAACCGACCTGTGAAACTTTACTTTCATATTGATGTATATGGATATTAAAGCTGTCGATTATTCACCAATTTGTTCCAGGTGTTGACCCCTCTATAGCCACCCCTGACCACCGGGCAGTGGCCATAACCAATTACAAGTACAAGGGTAAATTTGTTCTGACAGGGAGTTATAGGCGGGTCGATCAACCGGGCCTCTGGGTTGCAGGTAAGGCGCTAATGTAGGGAGGGGATCTTCAAATTATATAATTCATCTCACTCAAGCCTAGTTGAGATTTCATAAAGAAAATGTAAAATATTGTACTTTTTTTCGTCAAATTTATCAAGGATATTTATATGGCTGATATAATCTAGACGTTTGGCTAAATATAATTTTATTCTTTAAATTCTACAGTCGAGGATCAGGACTTGGAGAGAACGCGGTGTTGGGCGGATTCATGGGCGCGTGTGAACGTGAAGAAGAATGACCGCAGTTTAAAGCATGTTGCCATGGCGCTAGAGAACAGACAGTTGGTCAGTTTACTGGAAGAGAGCGAACACACCATGGAGTTTGTCTGTGCCGTATTTGCGTGTCACCTGGAAAGGATGAAGAAGCTTTTGGCTTTGGGCAGAGGTGAGAGAGAGTAAAACTGAACACGTGACATGTGGTGCTGAATTTTATCAATCTTCTTAAATTTTTATTTTAGATAATTAGCTTACAGCGTATCAAGTTGTTTTCATTGAATTTATAAGGAAATTGTAAATGACACTTTCTTCCTGCGCCTATTTGCTTCTTTCTCTTAAGAAATAAATTGCTGTACTTTTTGTATGAACCATAATGGACCTTTCAAATGTAAAATTTCAAATATGCCCTACATAATTTTATACAATACCTCAATTAAAAGATTCACATTACCTTACTCAACGGAGATATCCAGTTATCTTTTGAAACATAACATGTATGGTTGAATTCAAGCACTTCTTATCATTACAATGTAGGTTCTTTTATTCTCTAGGGAAGTGTCTTGTGAACCCCATCGACCCTTATTACATCGCTGGGTTTAAGACCGACTACAGTGTAGAGTACGTACAGAGACCTCTGATCATTCCCGCTTTGGAGATCTGTACGCCAGAAGTGATAGACTTCCTAATACAGTTTGGAGCTGATCTGGGGAAACACTATGAGGGTACTTTTATTTCTATTTTGTTTAATCTTTTTTGTCGTTTTAATGTTCATAATTGATCAAATTGTCGTTTAATAATTTCTTCATTAATCTCTTTGTGACAGCCGTAGAGTGGATATATACTGCCACTGTGTCTCGCAAAATACATTCAATTTTTAATCCTACCTTATATTGCTGTTTTAAAAATCGGGTGACAAATACATCCCAAATAATCTAGCTGAATGTTTTCGCTTGAAACAAAATGATATATGATTCCAGCAACCGCCCCCTGTGGACCTGCGGCATTCTGGGCATTTAGAGACGACATTGACAGTCGTAACACCCTGGTTGTGGCACAGCGGGCAGACGTCACACATCTGAGGGACGAGCGAGGGGCCACCATGTTGCATCTGGCCGTCAAGCGGAAGAACAAACACCTCAAAGAAGAAATCGTCCGCGTTCTTCTTGAGCGGGATATTAACATTGCTGCCCGTGACATTGATGGCCTGACAGCAAGAGACTATCTAGAGAAATATGGAGTAGAAAACGCTGAATCCCTGAGAAGCATCATCGATGAGTTTGTGATATATTTTGTTACTGACGATCAGATTGAGAAAGTAGAGCAGCTAATCCTGGAGGGGTACGACCATATACTAGATATCCAAGGAGTAACGAAGAAAGGAAGAAGAATGCACACAAGGGAACTGGCCGAAATGAAGCAGTTAAAAGACATGATAAAACTACTAGATGAAATCCCTGAGTATGAGGTGTGTTTTATTAAATAACGATCTTTTACGAGGTGTAGAACATATTTACGTGATATGTCAAAACGATTGTAGTTCCGTTTGGCTATTAGTCTATGTAAAATTTGTAACAGTTTTTGTTTTTGTTTCGAAGAATTTTATAACATGCGTACCGTGACGAGATTTGACATAAAAAAAGCCATCACCATTAAAATCAAAGATAAAGTAACCTTATCTAATGGCAATGTATTTATATCGTCAGCGAGAAATCAAAGTGATGCACTCAGCTATTGAAAACGCCGACATCAAGACTATTTCCAAGAAAGCGCAAGAAAAAAGGATAGCATGGGGTAAGTTTGAACTATTTTAATACCCAGATTTTACCAACATGGGTACATCTCGTTCGTCGTTTTCCTTTCCTCGATTTTTTGTTATAACTAACCAGATGAACCAATGATCTTGATAGTAGGTCATTGCATGAACTGAATAATACTTTATCAAATAAATCAAGGTACCAATAGACATTAACACAAGAATCTGGTTGCTGTAGACACGATATCAAAATTCACCTCCTAGTATAACATATATGATGGTTGCAGGGACAGACAGGGGCGGTAGGTCACTAATGCATAAAGCCATTGTATACGAACAACCGAACGTTGTGGATTTCCTGTCACAGCAGTTTCCAAACATGGTTTACATGAAGGATAACGTGAGTTTTTTATCAGTCTTTGTCACTTTACAGGGGGAATAATAACAATTGCTTGAAATGCGAAGTTAAATTAGATTTTTTTCATCATTTTTTAAAGGTGAATTTAATTTTTAGTTAATGGAAAGTCATGGCAATTGCATTTCTAAATGTAAGAAGCAGTGTCGATTTAAATATCTATTTGTCGGAGAAAAAGAACTTCACAAACGTAGTTAATTTTGTTTTGTCATCATTTTTTAAAAGATATAATCAATTAAAACATTTGGACAGAGATATTAAATTAATATTTGTGTTGTTTCAGCTACTACGCACGCCCCTCCACTATTGTGCTAGCCTAAAAGACAAGAAGAAAACCTACGGCAAGATTTGGTCCATCCTCAGTCCTGCCGGAGGACACAACAATCTAGAAGCCGTTAGTGTCCAACTCTGTTGTCCTTGTTTTCTCGTTCAAATCTAATTTATTTCTGCCCTCTCTCTGCGAATATTTATAGTACAGAAGAAACTGTGGTCTTCAAAGTCTATGCTAGACTCTTTCAAAAATTGCATAATAGCGAACACCAAATCTCAATTTTTCGAGTTCTTTGAAAACAGTGATATGTATCTGATTGCTTCAGCTGGCTATTTTGACAATCGGTTTGAACTGAATACCGACTGTACTTTTTCTTTTCCAGAACAACCTGACAGTTCATGATTACCTTCGAGAAATGGAAAAGGAAACCCCAAAGAAAGAAAAGCCAAGAGGAAGGCAATTTTATGACTACAAGGTACTATCAACTGATTTGTCTTGTAAACGTTTCGTTTTATCATACAATATTTCGTCAAAGCATTATGTAGTGTGGGGCTACACAGAGTGGCATGTTTATGTTTTTGAGTATATTTGATAACAATGAAACGTATTGAATATTGTTTCAGGTTCGAGATTTAGTCCAAGTTGAAAGACAAAGACAGTACTTTGACATGACCACCCTCACGCGAAGTCAAGAACAGGCAGTTTCATAAAACAATGCCCAAGGAAGATACTATAAATTTAGACTTTAGAAATATGAAAGAAAACGATATATTTTAAGTCTGGATGTTATCCTGTGCATTATCTGTCTCATGAAATAGCACTTGACCCAGGTACAACCGCAAGGGAAGAATTGCAATGTGGACTGCGGTTCAGTTTAAAATAATTCCAAAAAATATACATTTGTGCCAATTTTTAACTGTATCTTTTCTACTTTTATCAAATCAACGTGTACAAGTTTATAAACCAGTAACTAGTTGTGATGATGGTGGTAATGATGATGATATATCGTTGGACATTAATTGATCACATCGTCCAATGAAGAAGAACCATGAGAAGGGGTTGATAGACTGAATGTCTAACACTATCTGGCGTAATACACACACACACACACACACACACACACACACACACACATATCGACACAACCTTTACTAAATGCAAGGCGATGGCTGTTTGAAATCTTCTTGCAAAACTACTAAGTAAGCCCCAATGGTGATGGTGGCAATGATGATGATATATCGTTGGACTTTAATTGATCACATCGTCCAAGGAAGAAGAATCATGAGAGGGGGTTGAAAGACTGCCTGGCGTAATGCTTAGGGACCGCTGTATTCGCGCAATGAAGAAATGCCCAAAGAAGTTCTAAAAGAACTCATTTCAGTGGGTCATATATATATATATATCGACACAACCTTTACTAAATGCAAGGCGATGACTATTTGAAATCTTCTTGTAAAACTACTAAATAAACCCAAACCAGGAATTATTTGTAAATCTTAATAAAATGATTAAAATTGCTGGTTTATCTTTATGATGAACTTTGAACAAACAACTGTTTTTAAATACTTTCTTCATGCGCAAGCTTTATACACACTCTTGTTAAGAAAGGTTGTCCCAATATGCTTTTATTTACAAATGATCACTTCACAGGCGCGAACTGTGATAAACCGCGTATGACTTATGGTGAAAAAAAAAAGCGGGGAAGGTATCCATATTTTATACCATTTATTCAAATTTGTAACATGTGCCTCCTCGCTGTAATTTCCATAGAGGTAAAGAAATGTCCATTAAATTAAAAAGACCACCAAATGTCACCAAATTTACAGATATTTAGCATTGGGATGTGCTCCTTAAAGGTCACGTGTCTATATAATAGCCTGTATATCTACCGCGTATTACAATTTAGGGCATTTTATGTGTGGTTTACAATGTATTTATTATGGCAGTTTAAATCTCATACGCAGAGAGAGTTGTTATCCCTTTCAGATGCGTAGTGAAAAAAAATGGGTAGAAACGATTCTTTTTGGGTTTCAATGTGTGCGTATGTCTTTCTCGCTCTTTCTCTATGTACGTGTGTGTGTGTGTGAGAGAGAGAGAGAGAGAGAGAGAGAGAGAGAGAGATGTGGTCCGACTCACCATCTGGATCAAATAATTTTTGAAGGATTCATCAGCATTGCGAGATAGGGTCAACGTCCTCGTCCTTATGCAATGGATGAGCTCTCAACTACCACAATCTGTAGGCCTACAGGTAGCCCCCTAAATTTTGGACCTTCAGTCCCAATTGGGTGGCCAAGGTTCATTAGTAGCACGTGGAAGCCCATTCAGTCAGTGTGTGGTAGCAATTTAATTTAAATATTATATAAATGTTCATATAATTATATGACATCCGGATGCTCTTACAAAAAAGGGAATCAAACAAGATATAACAATACTTTCTGTAAAATCATGCAGCTGAAGAGTTGTTCTAAAGAAAAATGTAACGTAAAAAGAGTTGGGTAATATTGAATCAGCTATAATCAAATGGGTCAAAGGGAATCTGAGGTCAACCTTGAGGCATTTGTGTCAACTTTGATTTTATTAGGGCACTTTTTTTACAATACTTAAGATATATGAAAGATACAAATGCTGAAGGGGTGTTTCTGAATAATGCTCACCACTTGATAGATTGGCTAGTTATTAATAAAAATTATACTAATTTATTTAGATGAAGGGTTGTTCTTAAAGGTAAAGTTACAATGATTATATATTAGTGTAAGATGTTGCCAAAAATGGGTCAAATTTAAAGATTAATATCAAAATTTTCTAGCAAGGCAAAATGATTTTTGACATCTTAATTGAAGTTGGCGCTGTTGGATTTTTCTTTTTTACCCCTGAAACATGAAAAAAGTAAATAAAGATAAATAGATAGGAAAATGAATATACATGTATAAACTAATATAAATACACATAAATATAAATGCCTGGGCGAGTTTACAGATCAATGCCAGACCGCATGAAATTTTATCACAGCCTATATGGTCTGAAAAATTAATAATTGAAAATAAAAGTTTCTGCTTGAAAGATTGGTGAGATAAAGGAATTTACTTCAGAGGCAGATTTTTTGTCCTCTCCCCCTTCGATTTCTGAAAAAAATCACACGAATATTCTCCACTTGAAATTAGAATTTTGGCTAGCTGAATCATAGTTATAAACCGTACCAAATGTTACCGTTCGCCCTCTAAAATACCAAAAATTCCCGGGGCCTTTAGCGGGCCCCACACTGTGTGTGTGTGTGTGTGTGTGTGTGTGTGTGTGTGTGTGCTCCTTATAACATGTTCTTAAAAAGCAGTCGCCCATCCTTAGACAGTAACACTGGGAAACAAAAATTAGGGATTTATTTGGAAAAGACACATGGGTCTGATTTACAGTGCACCTTTTTTGTACACTTATGATGCGAGCTTGCAAACATTGCAGTTCAAGATAAACACTGTATTTACTTCTCAAATTATCGGTAAGAAAAATGCAGCTATGTGGGTCACGGATATGTACCTTTTGCCAAATTGAAACCGAAACATTTTAAAATACATTAATTTTGGGAGTGTGCTCATGCCCAGAACACATGGACATGTCTCCTAGAGAGTATTCGACATAACTATAAATTGCAGTTCGAGAGTAAAATATAGACTTGTAGGTGTTAGGTACCGTTGATAACAGACTGCAAGGTCCTCAGATCGTCGAATTGCTCATTCAGCAATTTATCACTTTATGAAGAGCTTGAGGTGAAATACCTAATGCCCGTTCATATATCAATACTTATCGCAACGACTTGTACTCTTATTTCTTGCAGGCAGATAAAAAGAATGCTCAAGTTATCAATAGCTGGAACAGAGTCAAATTCTTAATAGAAAACCCTCTCACCTGATGACCCTGCAATAATATGCAATAAGTTAGATTAATGTTATCTTAAATTTATGTAGGGTGTACTAATTTCATTATCAATACACCAAAATGTAGTGATGCTTATATATGTCAAGTGTACGTACCAAATTATGTAGATAATACGTGTAATAAGATATGATACCTCGTATATGTATTTGTTGCTATAAAGTATATACAGGCCCGTAGCCAGCAATTTCAAAAGGGTTTTTTTTCTGAATAAGTGGACCTTTAACCATGAAACCTTCATGTGCCTAGATAAATTTTACCCAGATAGGACCTTTTCCTAGCAAACCCCCTCTGGCTACGGGTCTGATATATATGTATGTTCACTTGTTGATGAGTAATCTATGTTTGTCATATGATAGGCCTACTCTTTGTGATGATAGATGCTCCTATGTTTGTATATAGACACTTTTGATAAGTATATATATGTAAAAATTAGAGTAGTTCGTATTGGAAAAATTCTCACCGTCTTCTAGGTCTTCCAGTGCTATGTATTTAAGTGAGTGAGTGTGTGTACGCGGAGTATAGATACTGTTTTTACAAGTTTTTTTGTTGTAAATATTTTTACAATATTTTTGTTGCTTGGTGTCTGTATATTTGCCAGCTTTGCTGTCTAGTTCACCTTTTTCATCATCATTTACAACATCATCATCACTACTTCCCACAGGGTGAGCTAGTAGTCTGCTACAAAATTGTTTTATCGCTCATACTTTAATATTGTATACTATTTTAGAAGACCCTGATATCAAAGGGAACCTCACACCATATGGTATCATGTTCATCAATGCACAAAGCAATCATTTGAAATACATCGACATCATTGCTATCACCACCATATTTGATATGAATGAAGTTACGGCATTTAGAATTTAAACATATAAGTATTTGTATATAAAGGTTCAGTTACGTTGCCGGGTATTTTCATTTGGTTTGTTTTTGCATAGGGTAAACTGCATTTAATTTATTCATTATGTATTCATCATATTCAGTACTTATGTCTGTGGATTGTATCTCCACATCTCTTCTTCAGCGTCTTTATATTGGGTAAGTTTTCCACGACCAATTAAGGCGCTTGTACAATCGTTTCATATTTACATTTCATATTTAATAATAACCCATATCTTAAATCAAACCATGGGCATAATAAGATTTAGGTCCAAGATCAAACATAGGCCACAAAACGTGCTTTTTTTATGAAAGATTTAATTTACGCGAAGTCCTATCCGTTTTCCGCTGGCAGTTTCTAAACAGAACAACTGAGAGTGATTTTTTATTGAGATGGCATCTGTTGGTCAGTGATAACCCTGCTTAATAAGTGCGGTCAGTACATCATCCAAAGTGTTTATGATTATCGAGGTCATAGGTCAGTGGACATTACTATCGCAGAAAGTCAATAGTGAGAGGCGTTCTCGTTATCTGCAAAGATATACACCACGAGGACTGACCGACTAGGATTGAGTATGCACAGAGTACAACATTATACTGCAGCAGTGGTACAAAACATTGTGTCCTTGACTGGATGTCATACTTTTAAAAGTTTTTAGCTCTTATGAGAGAGTTATTACTGAAATAAATTTGCAGAGCTGGTCGGTCAGTCATAACCACCAAAGGGGATTTCCACCCACTATAATGTTAATCATTGTGAGTAAACTAATTGTAAATTACAGGGGCGGATTTAGGCCGTCTTCTGGGTCTTCCGGAAGACGGTCAGATTTTCAAGTTTACATTGACGGGTATCTATTTTTTTCTGTCGGAAGACGGTCAAATATGGAGGTTGGATCAACAAAGATAATTTGGAAGACTGTCAGAAAATATCTCTGGATCCGCCCCTGAATTAAATGCCGTCGCAATGAGTCATGCTAATCAAAACGAAGATTATATAACAACACTGTGGTCTCAGTTTATGTATCACAAGATAAGAACAACAATGATCGACCATAGGCTGTTCTTGTTTAAAACGTCAGAATTTAATTTTTTTAAATCTGTTTAGTACGTGATGACTGGGTAAGTATTGAGTATTGTGTTAACGCTGTCCCAGTGGAGGCTATCAACGGGTTTGAATTTGAAGTGCAATATCAGACCACAGTTGAATTGGTTTTCCTCTTACAACATACTACATACTCTGTAGACCCAAGGAAGCCGAAAGAGCACAGTTGATATTAAGACGCCATTTTAATGTGGAGATTTTACGTGCCGGTAAGGTAAGTCTGGTTTTCGTAAGTAGGCTAAATCTTCGTATATTAGTTTATCTCATAGTGTTAAGCCATACATAGGGCACTAATAATATCCTCACATATATTGTACGATAGGTTAAAGTACAATTTTATCATTCAATTGTGGGAGACGGGTTTGAATACAGAGCAAGACTAGATTGAAGTATTTTGACGCAGTAATGCGTTTACTGAGCCGAGCGGGTGGCTCATTTTTTTTTAAATAAATAATATTTTGGTTAATATTCATAATCAGCTGATTCCTGTACAGTTGTAATGATGGAAATTCTATTTCAGTCTGTATGGGACGTTCAATGCTGAAGCTCCCTAATGGCCGCCAACAGATATTCGTTCGTGATATTTATTGCCACAGCTATCATTTTTGTTGTCCTGTTGACTGTATTTGGTTACTACGGTGGCGGTAGGTTCTTAAATTTCAATATTAACGATAGTAATAATTTATTTTTCTCAATAAGAATTTTAACCCATGATTTTGAAGCTTTAACTTCATATTGTAAATGCAATTGCAACAGACTATTAAAAGACTTAAGATAATCAATTAAAAAAGATATATTTATTAAAATAGTATACCAGATATACGTCCAGTTAACGCCTTCCCGACAATAACTCACACTTGACAAATTTTCCCTAGGTCCTGGTTAAACGACATTTCCCCCCGACTTACCTGCTTTTAATCACCCATTTCTAAGAGACACCAGCAACAATTAAAAAAAACAGAGGCAAGCTTAAGTGCGGGTTTTCGAGGCACCCAATTAATTCAATACATTGGATAGATTTTGGGAAATCGGGAGACTCTAGTACCGTAACCCGAGTTATATTCAAACTGTGTCAAGATGGCTGACTTACGAGGTTGAACAGGGGACGGTGAATATGTCAATTTATGTTTTAATATTTTTAACTGCCTTTATGTTTGTTCAACAAGAAGCGATTCATGCTCTTAGTATGCGTTCAAATCCTGGCTTGGATTTCCTTAATTATTCGTGTGATTTAAAAGTTTTATATCGTGACAGCATGCCCTTAGGACATTTATCACAGCTAAAACAGACCCAATATACATTGTGACCTGGGAAATTTCATAAATTGCACATTTATAAGTATTTTCTGCTACGCCCTTGAAAGCCAACTTTGGGATTTGGTCTGGGCCAAGGAAATAATTCCTAACCATAATTCCTTGGTCTAGACCTGTTGCCTTAGATCGGCAAGTCGTTTTTCCACATCAGCAAAAATAACCATAATTATTGTGGTGCATAGTCCAATATTCACTGTGAGTTTATAGGACATTCTTTATTGAGTTTTAACTATTATTAAAATCACAGAAACGTTTTCCAAACATATTTGAAGAAAATGTTGATTGCGTTGTGCTTTCGCCTATCCTTTCTAATTCTGTTTAGTTTCTCCACTGTGGGAAGAAGAATGTTTTTAAAAATTATTCTTAATATTGGTATTAGATCATTATCATGACAGAAATGTTTGAATGATGCTTCCACATATTTGAAGTTTTTCAATTGCTGCTCGCTAAGTATATGTGGAGGAGTAATTTTAATCCAGACAATGGAACATATGATATGGGGTTTAAAACACAAAGTTGTGACTATCATTTGTCTCATTCCAGGTACTTCAATTTCGTTAAATCATAAAAAAATATATCATCCTCGTTTACTTTGTTGGATTCTCACTACCAAGAAAAACTTTAAAACGAAAGCGAAAGCGGTGAAAGACACATGGTCCAGCAGGTGTGATGTCAGATTATTCGTTGCTTCAGACAAAGATGACGATTTAAACACAACAGTCTTCAACATAACAGACTCCAGAGAGACTTTGACACAAAAAACTTTCGCTGCATTTGAGTATGCCTACAAGCATCATATCAATGACGCGGATTGGTTTCTCAAAGCAGACGACGATACATACGTCATCATAGACAACTTACGTCACTTGCTGACGTCATACAATTCAGATCAACCTTGGTACCTGGGTCACCCTATACCGTGTTGTCCTCTGCCGCCCCACCCCCCAGCCGAACCTTACATGAGCGGGGGTGCGGGATACGTCATTAGTAAAGGTGCTTTAGAGAAATTTTACCGAGTGGGATTAGGTCAAAAGCTTTGTCCAACCACAGGAAATTATGAAGACATGGACTTTGGAAAATGTTTACATAAAATCGGCATTAAAATTGGGAAATCACAAGATTCAAATCATAGGACACTTTTTCATCCCTTTCACCCCGTCACAATGATAAATGGAGCTGACCCCAACCTTCCAACGTGGTTTTACATATCTAGGTATCCGGGCCTGGCGGGAAATACCAAGGTGAGAAAATGCTAGAAAATCTTTTAGCAAACAGTATAAAGATCTATGTATTTATTTATTCAATTATTATTGTTTCTCTTCCTTCTTTTTTTTAAATTTAACACTCATATATGCATATTCATCTGTTGTTTTATGATATTTTATAAATTTTCGTCGTCAATGACTCAGTTTGTTATACAGTTCTCAGAAAAATATAACATACTTCAACGTAACTGGACGCATGATTACCGCCTAACGACTTGTTATTTATCATCAAAACATGTTAGTATTTAACACAATGCTAACAAGATAAGGTGTGGGTTGGGTCTGGGCTGATCTCAAACCACGTCTGTCTAAATCCCTTGCAAACCTCTATATGTGTCATGCAAACCGCAAGGTGTATTTTAATTTGGTCTTCTGTGTATAATCCGCTGCAAAGAACTTAAGATAAGAAATTCCAAGAAGAGGGAGATATCATGACAGATAAGTTTTTAATTATTTGTTTTGACGCAAAGTGGACGATTGGCCTCAAGCTCAAGTCAGAAAAGTTATTCTACAAGGAATTGTAACTACTTCGAGTTTTCAATTACATGAACTGATTCATGGAACTGTTTTACTGATTAATTCATTATAGAAAGTCAACACTTTTCATAAACTGACATTGATTTCAGTGAAAAATAAACGATGATATAGGACTTAAATACTTCCTCCACAGTCAAAGAGCTTTTCTCGTCAAATGCGGCGACAGTTTGGCAGTAGGACCTACAAATGAATTCACTGTTACTGATGGCTACGGTTCACTGACGGTTATTTTGGTTTTGTAGAAATAAGGTCACCTGATAACACATTTAAAAGTTTACTGACTTTGTGACATTACCATAATCGATACAGACAGCTGTTTCTATTTTTCGGATATGAATAGATAGGCCTATGTGGCAAAAAGATAAATGTTCCCTGTTCAAACACGTGGTAACAAGCCATCTGTTGCCAAGTTTTTATGTACCTGGCCTGTTTTGACGAACGGGTTAAATACACACAATGCCGGTGAGGCCTTTATAAGGCAAACATTGAAAATTCCTGGAAATTTCAGCACCCCTCGCCTAACCACCAGCCAAATAAAACCTTTCACAGAATCACAACCAATAAAACAGATATTGGAATAGCGGGAAAGCGAACGAGGCAATCCACTTAAAACCCAATCCTCATGCTTGAATCGCAGAAAAATGCATTAAGTTTATTCTCTTTACAAACGTTTTACTTTTTAACTTATCATCATAGTTTTTAGATTTTTCTATCATTTTCGTAGTGGAGAGAGAGAGAGCGAGAGAGAGAGAGAGAGAGACCATTTGTGGAATAACTGTACTGAACGTTTTTAATTTCACGAACACGTTTTTCGAAAAGAATAAACCAGGTGTTGAAAACGTAAAAATAAAACAAAACTTAGAAAAACCCAAAACAAACAAACAAACAAACACAGAAAAAGAAACATATCAGGATAAAAATTTTAAAATATATGAAGGATAAGTAAATAAATGAATAAGCATAAAGTATATAATAATGACTATATAGATGGGTAGCCATCGCATATATCCCCACACTTCCCCATATAGTGAAGAGAAACTCATCCTCAGAAACACCAGTCCCTAGATATCTTTGACAATACCTGAGTCCTATATGTATAATAATTGCAAATAATATCCACAATAACAGCATAGGAATTGAGATGAAAAAATTGCTTAATGAAGAAAAAAATATCCACCCCTGCGGAGAGCCCCTCGCGCTCTACATTTTGAAGGACCCATCCACATCACTATGATAGATCTTTCAGTCACAAAAGTTTAATTTTCCTCACTCTAATGGTCCGTGAGGAGATGGCTGAAATTACTCAGTAGAAAATTTTAATCATCCACCCCCATGAGCAGCTCTACCCTAAAATTCCGAAGTGTTCATGCACATCCCTTATGACAGCTAGGTTTATCAGTCACCAAATGCAGCAGATAGCAGAAATTACAATGTAAATAAATTAGAAGCATCCGCCGTCCCTCGTACAGCCCAACCCCAAGGCGCACTGAAATTCCGAAGTGCCCATGCACATCCCTGATGATAGGTCTATTAATACCCCAAGTTTCAACTTCCTCACTCTAATGATCTCGGAAAAAATGGCGAAAATTTCTAACGCAGAGTCGCACTGACACACGAACGCACGGACGGGCGGGTTAACATGATCATCGACTTTCGTCACAAATAAATAAATTATAATAATAATAAAAATAGATATTGATAACGACTTTTGTTTTTTACTTATTTTCAGGGCATAGACACACTGAGCGAGGACACGGTGTCGTTTCACTACGTGGACCCTGGAAGCATGTATCTAATGCATTTCCTCCTGTACGATATCAGACGACCTGCCAGCTGATGGTGGACTTGAGCGTATAAATAGATTGTTTTGATGATTGATATCAATAGAGAGATTTTAAAAACAAAGGGGGGGGGGGGGTGCGCCACCCTCCCAAGCTCTCTCTCTCTCTCTCTCTGTATTTGTGCGCACGCGCGCGGCGTGTGTCTGTGTGTGTGTGTGTGTGTGAGAGAGAGAGAGAGAGAGAGAGAGAGAGAGAGAGAGAACATGGACAAAACTTTGTAATTTTGTCCATGGAGAGAGTAAGAAGTTCCTACTGAAAAATGCTGAGGACCAACGTTACAGCCGATACTTGAATTCGAATTGGACCGGAGCCACTCGTGATAGTACTGTAATACAACACTGGAATTCAATTCCAAGGACCTTAGCACGCATTGGCTGCTTGGTATTACATTTAACGAATGTTCTGTAAGAAACAACTTTGCTAACATATTTTGAAATTTCTTATACGTAAATAAAGCAAACATAGACAATAGTCAGTGAAATAAAGGACCTGAGAAAGAAACCAAGGTCCATTTCCATGGACTATTACTTTCCCTACGTCCCTTTTTTGTAGTGAAAATCTCGGGTGGGGTGTAAGCATGAAAGGAATAAATAATTATAATATTATAATATAATAAATAATTGTAATATTCTTTTATGACACAAGGTTACTCTGCAATTTATCTTCTTCAATTTATGCTATGGAATATCACCCAACTAGCCTGTTGATCTCTCAAATGACGGTTAATCGGTTTGTTAAATTACGAGTAAGCGCCTCCTCCCCCTAAATGTCACACCAGCATGTTTCCAAATGATAACTTTACCGCAGAAAAATGTCCAGTGCCAAGAGAAAGCCATTTGGGGAACATGTTTGATCACGCCATGACGGACTACTCTCTACCAGGGTGGTAGATATTATAGGCACATTTTCCATATTTTGGAAATGTGGAAATGTGCCTATAATATCTGCCATTATTAAATTGACTCCCCCATGAAATTTTGACTCCGCCAACAAAAATTCATAAATCTAATTTTATTTGAGTACATGGCTCTTATCTTGTGGTATGCATAATTATATTTAGTCACCATATCATGATATTCCACATTGTGACGAATATTTTGTTTGTATTTGAAATATTGGTGGTGGAAATTTTGGTGCAAATTAATACTTTTTAAAACAAATATTCATCGTACTACCTGTAGGATTTGGACTACCATGTCAAAATGCTACATTTTTTAATTTTATCTCAAGAAATCACCCCCTTGGCCTTTTTATTGAATTCTTCATAAATAGCAAAATGATTGAATCCCTGAATCAAATTATTGAAATTATCAGAAATTATCAAATTATCAATCAGACAAGATAAAAGTCATATGGTCAAATAAAATAATAGGGCCTATTTATGTATGACGTTTTGTGTTTATGGGGGGGGGGGGGGGGGGGTCGGGGAGTAAAAATTTCATGTGGGATTTTCATTATGAAAATTTGACTCTAGGAGTCAGATTTTCATGTCACACCGGTACATACTTTTATTAGAGACAACTGGTGGAGTGGTGTGATGCAAACAGCTTGGTTTATTTCAAATGCTAGCAAAACAAAAGAATTAGCGGTTAGACTTTAGAAAGAACAAATATCAAATCACCAAGTTACTTTAAAGATGCTGAGGTACAAAGAGTTGACGGGTTAACACTTTTAGGGGTCTATAGGGACACCAAATTTGTGCCAGTTTAAGGCCCCATTCCCATAGACACCATCGGTCTATGTAGATCGATCCAACTCTGTGGGGACTCTCGCTGAATGCAATCATGAAACGTCTTCTCGAGCAGCTAGGAAGTAATACTGACAGGGGCGGATCCAGAGATATTTTCTGACAGTCTTCCAAATTATCTTTGTTGATCCATCCTCCATTTCTGACCGTCTTCCGACAGAAAAAAATAGATACCCGTCAATGTAAATTTTAAAATCTGACCGTCTTCCGGTAGACCCAGAAGACGGTCTCAATCCGCCCCAGTATTACTGGCTCTGACCATAGGGTGTACCAGTACAGGTACCGGGTAGTCTGTTATAAATTCATTGTGTTTCAGATGTTGTCGACAGCGACAAGTCAGTCACACAGTCTCAACTAACGCAATGTCGCTCAGTTTTTGAGTACTTGAATAGTTTTTAGCCGTCACCAGCAATATGAGCGGACGGATATTTTGGGCGCGTTTAGGTGTTTTCTTTGGTTTGTAATAAATTAACTGTCTGGAATATTTCTGTTTACATGCCTCGTTTTCTCACTCTTTTATAATATTTCTAAAATCTGTATCGATATGGATGATATTAGTAAATTGTCATCGCCTTAACGTAGTGAAATAAGTCAGGTGATATGTGTAGAGTTTGCATTAAAAATGCAAAATTGCTGAGGTAGCTAGACAAGTTATTACTTAATCCAATCACTTCTCTGATATTTACATCTCCCCGTTAGAATGTATCACTGACAACCGAAGTCGACAGCAAAATCGACTAAATGAATATAAAACATAGTCTTGTGTGATGTGATAATAAAATCTATAAGCCTGATGGCGCTGCCATTTGCATTTGTCTAACTTTGGTTTTGGCAATGACAATGCATATCGCAAATGACAATGACAATGCATATCGCCCTCATATCGGCCTATCGAAAGACTCTAGCTCCTCGACACTGAGACAGTTTGGTTAGCATAAACAAAAAAGAACAAGCACTCGCTGTTAAAAATGTGATTTTTGAGTGGAGCACTTAAGTTTCTATTACACCACCACACACTTTAAATTTTATTTGTAACCTCCCTCTATTTCTTGATCTCCCACATCTCTGCGTGGGGCAAGTAGATTTTCAGACCTACTTGACCGACATAGTAAGCGTCTGAGAATATTTTGACATGCCCTTATCATCACTAAGGCCATATATCATTTTATTTAATTTTGTTGGCATACAAACTTAAATTTTCAATCAGTAAACCACCTAGATAGTGGACAGCACTGGTAATAAATATCAATTAAACATATAAAGGCCTATGTACTATATGTTTTAATTCTGGGTTTATAATAGGGGCCTAATCGTGTTTTCCACAAAGATGGAAGTCATTTAGAACATATAACTATAATAATTTTCTTGTTGGAGAAACCTACAAAATCTACCTTTTTAGGTTCAAATTTTTAAAATATTCTTGCCCCCCCCCCCCTTGCAGAAACACCCATGGCTAAACATGGAAATTCAAAAGTAAAAAGTATTTTCTTTATCAAAAAAGTCTAGTGAAACGATAAAATTTTTTTATTATATTACACACTCACAATTTTCATAAAAACTTGTAAATTTGCCCAAAATCTTATTATTATGTTTCAAGAGGCCAACATCGTGTACTATGGTCAGGTAGGCCCTATTCTTTGATTTGCTGTTGCTCGTTAAATCACATGACCTGTCTTAACAAACTTTGATATCTACGCAGGTAAAGTTTACAGTAGGCCTAATTTGTTAAGCTATCATTTGCCATGTTTTGGTCTCGTGTGGCATTAGTGTAATACCATACCCTGCAAATGTAGCTGACACTGAATACAGGTAATTGAGTCTGATTTGATTTCCATAGGTAAAGTTTCATATCTCTCTTACACCCCATTTCCACAGATTAGATCGACCTACTTTAGATCGACCTAACTCCCTGGGGGTTCACGCTAAATAGCTGTCAGCCGGGCGGACACGAAAGTTAATTACCCCCTTCCAGCTTGTCGTAGGCGGGACGGACATTTAAGTCGGCTTATCTGATAGTAATCTAGTAAGACTCCCCGCGGGGATAGATCGATCTAAAATCTATGGGAATAGAGCCTTAGGGTGTATTCCCAGAGGTTTAGATCGATCCAGGGATTAAGATTTAGATCGACCTAACTCCCTGGGGGTTCACGCTAAATTGCAGTCAGCCGAGCGCGCACCATAGTTAATTACCTCTTTACAGCTTTTAGTAGGCGGGTCAGACGCTTAAGCCGGCTAAGCTGACAGTAATCTAGTGAGACTCCCCACAGGGATAGATCGATCTAAAATCTATGGAAATGGGATCTTGTTTGGGGGTGGCCGGCTCATGTCTTACACCCCATTTCCATAGATTAGATCGACCTACTTTAGATCGACCTAACTCCCTGGGGG